GGACATTTTCACTCAGCCTGGTTTATGCTGTTTGATATGTTTGTGTGAGTCAGTGCAGATAAAAATGACACGTCTGCACAACAGTGGCACAAAACATATTCTAGGGTTTGACCGATATATTTTCACTAAACCTTATGACACTACTGGTTTTGTTTTAATGTGGGTTGTGTTATCAAGTACCACTGTCCCTTAGAAAAACATACATTAATATACGTTTCGTGGTCCTCATAGAGCCCAACCTATCACAGAGTGGAGTGTCTGCCCTCTGATGAGTAACAAGAAATGTATAAATGTGGTTGAGGTCATTCATAACCAGTGGCGGTGACTTGGTTCATCCAGCAGAGATTTATCTATCAGCTGTAGCTCGACTCACTTCATAGATATCGTGGTCACAATTCTTTAATAAGTACAGTTAAGGGATCCTTATCAAACCTTTGTTTGTTAGTCTTTAACCATATATTAACAATAAATACCAGCTGAAATATTGTGTGATATTTCTTCAGAAGAAAGAAAAGCCTGAAGTTAATTTACAGCGCGAGTCAATGAACCTGTAACGATCAGACTGAAGTGACGTTGAGCTGGACTTCATTCACTGGGCCAGACCTTGTGTTCATGATAACCGGTGTCTGTTTGGAGCTGGAAATATTGTTTTGTCCTTAACAATCACGATGACATGTCCTGTTACGGCCTCCGTCAACATGGAAGCCCCAGAAGCTGTAACCAGTTGACTAAACTGACATGACATTCTTCTGGTTGTGCAGCTGCACTGTTCTCCTCTGGCATTTTTACCACCGTTCTGATGCATCTAGCAGTTTAAGAAGACGACGTCCCCATTCTGAATCCAAACCAATCAGCACAACAGCAGAGACGTGGGGTCCAGAACCAGCTGTGGCAACTCGAACATTCATTATGATGTTTTACTACTAAACTGAAATCTCAGTCAGTTAGTCCAGGAAATTAATTCAACACTAACCTTTTAATTTACAAAGCACACCTGCTGCTCACAAGTTCACAAATCTGAGGACTACTTGCCATTTTTTCTGCCTTATATTCATGTACATTCATTTTGGGGTTTGCTGATCACACACACTAAGACGTCAGCTTGGACTGTGAAAATTTGTCAGAGGCCTTTCTTTTTTAACCATTTTCTAATATTTTATAGACAACACTTGTCAACTAGGGAAGTCCCAGCAAAGTTTCCTGGGCCAACACCATTCTGAGACCTTTTACATTAGGTAGCCGCCGATACTGAGCTCGATCTGATAATTTGATGATAGATTTTTTTTTAATCATCAGAGGCCAATGAAATGTACAAGAAACACTTTAAAAAATGCAAAGCAGACAACATTTCACTGCAGGTGCAGCCATGTTTTTCTGCATATATGGTCTGAAGGGATGTCCTCGGGCGCGATGATTCATTTTCACTAGGCCTATATATCGGTCCAACCCTAGCAGATGCCAGTTTGTGCAGCAGAAAGGAGGATTTACATGCAGACAGATTTGATGTGAGTGCACAAATCGGTGCTGCTGTGCTAAGAGGACAGTGGGTGTATCATCAGAGACCCACGCTGCTCATCAGAGGTGTCGCTGGGGTCTCTGGCTGTATGTGTGGGAAGAGCTGTGTGCGGACGAGGGCAGGAGAAGTCCTTACTCGTGTCTCCTTTTCTCCTCACTGTCACCAGAAAAAGAAAAGCTCCAGTTGTGCTTGTACCCTCCATCTCGCCTGGTCTCTGACCTATCCAGGGCTTGAATTGAATAACAAACCAGACTCACATCAGTGTACAGAGACAAGGCAGGACACAGGCATCAGCTGGAAAGACCATTAAATGAAGCCACATCATTTCAACTAGATGACATGGAAGCACTGGGAGGAATTAGCAACAAGGAACCTTGGGCCTTATCGTAAATTTTGCATTTCTTCAACTGCAGCAGCATCTTTCTATAAACAACAGATACACTCATGTCACTGCAGTAAGGTCTGATTAAAGCAAACAGTTCTCTATTCAGTTTTTGGTAGGTTAATTATTAAACAAGTTCTTGTACTATACAGTTAGATTCAGTGTGATGCTGACTGGATACGACTGAGAGCAAATGCAAATGGGGTTTATCAACCACCCACAGACTGATGTGTGACATGACAGGAGGTCAGCATGTCCTGAGCAGTGAAGAACTTCATGAGCCAAAGCCAAGTTTAAACAAACAGCATAACGAGGGTTCAATTAAAACTTGGGAATTGTTCTAAACACAGTCTTGAAATCCAACCTAAAACCTAAGTGACACTTTCACTGTAACTACACTGTAGAGCTAATTGATCAGCCGATTAGATCAGTGTATACATCAGCCCATAAAGAAAAAACAGAGCTGTAACAATTAAATGATTAGTCCATAAACATGTATTATTCAGCTGAGCACAGCTGGTGTTTATATTTGATTATGAACAGAATTTGGCCTCCACTTCTTCCATTTTCAGTTTTCCTCATAAGATTTATTTAATTCTCTGAAGAGTCTGCGTGGAGATTTAGTTCATTTAGTTCAAAGTGTGGATTAATTAAAACCTGCTGGTGCGTTCATGTGCAACAGTATTAAACTTCCCTAATGTATCTGGTATCTTAGTTGTTTCCCTCATCACCCTGCAGTAAAATCTGAATTACTTTCTGCAAGTCGGTCAAAGTGAGGGAACAATGCTCCTGATGTTAATCTACCGCCACCAGCGCCCGCAGGTCCACATGGAGGGGACGCCCAGCCCCTCGCACTGGGAGGTGCCAGTGTATTCAGAAGGAACGGTAGACAACTCAAACCTGATTGTTTGAGGACAACTGGGGACAAGCACGTCAAAACAAAACTGTCATGAACGCCCTGTGAACATCTGATGTAGCTTAAACAGTAAAGACTCCATGCTGTGTTAAATACTTTAGATCAAGACTCACTTGCTGTATTTTGTCTTTGTGTTATTTAACAGTTAAACAGTTTATTTGAACCGACTTAGGTTTTTAATGGTTGTTCACGTTTTAATCAGACAAAACTAAACATTTAAAAGAAACAAGTATCGTTATTATTGCACAGCAGCACGTCTCTCACTAGAATCTATGAAGTGAAGCAAATGGTTTGTGCATCTCGCTTTCATGTAATATTTCACTGTTTACTCTGCAACTAGTTACTGATAAACCTGGGAGAAATGTTTACGTTGATGCCAGGGGCTCCCGGTGTCAGTGTTACATTTCAATCAGTACCTTTTGTGCTTCGCTCTGTGCACAGAACCAGTATGACCACACACAGGTGAGGCAGTCATTTTCTTGATTTCAGAGAATGTTTGACAGCAGAACAGGGTGAAGGGTGTCAGTGATACATGTCCTAGAGCTGAAACTATGAACCAATTAATCAGGTCTCTGATCAAAACAATAGTATCCTGCAATATTCAATGCATCACTTCAGTTGTTCTTCCAAGAAAAAGAGATCAACATTTTGTGGTTTTAGCTTTTCAGTTGTGAAAATGCTGCTTTTATTTGTCATATATGAGGGTAAACTGAAAACCGTTTGGTGTGGGACTAACAGCTGGATAAACCAAGAACTTGAGCTTCACACTGAAGATTTATTCATAATTTAACACGTCACAGGCTACATGATTGAGACAAAATAATCAGAAGGAACAATTTAAACAGTACTTGATGACTGGTCCAACAGCACAGGCCTGCTTGCTCATTTTTTGATTTGTTAATTAGCATTTTTGATGCAGTTTGATTTCAGTTAGTGAACAACAAGTGTTGCTGTCCGCTGTTTGTTTTCTTACATGTGCAGCTATGTCTTCAAGTGGATGAGTCAAAAGAAATGTTGATGTTTCAAGGACACAGAGGCCAACTCAACAATCACCAACTAAAAATAGCTGCCATGTCGCTGATGCACAGGTCTGTATCGTCTGCCAGGTGTCAGCCGCTGTTTGTGCCGGGGCTTCCTATTTCCTCCCAGCATCAACTGAAACTAACCAAGTTCACATCAAATACCAAAACAAGAGAAGTCAAACGTGGAAGGAAACACAACCCAAGCCGTTTAGAAACACTGCTGCGATGTGCTTCATTTGGAGATGCAGAACCTGTCCGGTCAAACTGAACCACATCACCGCAGTCCTGCTGTTTTTAGCTCCAAACTGACCCCCCCCCCCGTGACCTCATAAACCTGCACCATCATGTCAGTGCACGCTCTCCATCTTAACACTCCTCTCGATCTGACAAGAATCATCTCGTGTTATTTCATACAGACATGTGGCTAAAACACAAACCTTAAATGCCGTCTCCTTTTCTGTCCTCCAAAACCGAATTCTGAGCTTCTCGCTCCTTTTCCCTCCTGGCCTCACTGTGCAGCTGCACCGGTGGATTACAGCCCCACAACAGAACATTTAGTTGGAAAAACCAATGTTTTAGTGAACTGTGCACTTTCTGAGGATTTTTAAATGACAAGAACAATAATCTTCCAAAGCTTAAAATCATATATTGGATTCTGCTCCCAGAGCTTAAGTCATCAAGACCAATCCTGCACAAACCTATTTTGAGCCAGTTCAAACTCAAACAAATGCCCTGATAATGCTGGTGAGAGGACATTTAGCTACCCGCGGAGCGTTAGTGCACTCATTTGTTTTGTCTGGGAAGAGTGGATTTTCTGCAGGGTGGATGCATGATGGGTGATCTCTGACGACAGCTACACATAAAGTCTCAAGAAAAAGCCATGGCACTGTTTGCAGCTTCCTGTTTTCTACAAAAACTGGTCATGAACTGGGATCTAATCTTCACCAAATATCAACAAGCACAATATTTCTAAGCTGATAAAACACAAACAGTCCTGATCTTTTGTGTCTTCACTGAACACACCCGTTTAAAATACACAGTGATGGTGGACAAAGTCACAGCGACGCCAGGCTTCTGATGTCACTGAACGTCAGCTGGAGTCACGTGTTAGCAAACCTGGAGTCCTGTCAATGAAACGAGAACCAAGGTGAGGTTTGGAATGACTCATAAAAACACTTAGACAGTGTCAGTGTGCTGTTCACAAGCAGGCCTCATAGAAAGATCTCAGAAGACCTGATCAAGAGTTGTGGGATTGCATGTACTTTAGGACTTTATTGATCCCACAATGGGTTTGCATGTACTTTAGGACCTTATTGATCCCACAATGGGGAAATTCCTGTGTTCCAGCAGCAACACAACACCATAAGAACAAACACCAAACACATATCTTGAGAAACAAATTCCAAAGTACCTAAAAACAAGACAAGATATAGTATTCAAGAGATCAAGAACCATGTAGCAGGAAAGGGTCACAGTCACCTCACTGACTTTAGATATTCACCAGTCCAAAGTCAGACATACTGTCTATAAATGGACCACCCTGACCTCCACAGCACTAATGGAAAAATGTCCAGTGGACAGATGAAACCAAGGTGGAGCTGTCTGGGAAGAACACACAGTGCTACGTATGGTGTATAAAGAAAACATCATCCCAGCAGTGAAGCACAGTGGAGGAGCATCATAAAGTGCCTCTGGACCTGGACTGCTTACCACTGTGGACGGAAAATGAACTCCCCAGTTTATCCAGGTGTCCTACAGGATAAGGTCAGGGTGGCTGTCGACAAGCTGAAGCTCAGAACAAGCTGGGTGATGCAGCAGGACGATGACCCTAAACATCGAAGTAACTCCACTACAGATTGGCTTCAGAGACACAAAACCTGCCTATTGGAGCGGCCGGGTCAGAGCCCAGAGCTCAGACCAATAGAGACACTGTGGAACGGCCTGAAGACGTTCACACCAGACGTCCTGAGAATATGGCTGAGCTGAAGCAGCTCTGTCAGGAAGAACAGTCCAAAACGCCTCCTGAACGTGGTGCAGGTCTGAGCCACAGCTACAGGAAGCGCTGGCTGGAGGTTGTTGCTGCCAAAGGTGGTTATTAAAACCAGTTATTAAAACACTGCTGCTGTGACTTTGTCCACATCACTGTGTATGTTTAATGTGTTCAATAAAGACATGAAGGATCAGGACTGGTTGTTTTATCAGCTTAGAAATGTTGTGTTTGTTGATCTTTGACTTTGGTGAAGATCAGATTTATGTAGAAAACCAGGAAATGCAAACGGTGCCATGACTTGTTTTTGTTGACTATGTAAAAGGAATGAAAACTGTGGTTGTGAGGACGTTAGAGATAATGTTTCAGACCCATTCAGCCTCCCCACTTTAGGTGTAATATCACCACTATAGTCTCTGAAGGTTTCTCTTCATACAGGCTGGTATTTCTCATTTTCAACCATTTTAACAAATGTCCAAACCACATCAGCCCTGGGCATCCATGACCTTCCTTAGACACTGTTGTAGCCACTGACCACTGCAGACTGGGAACACCCAACAGGACCTGCAGTCTGGGAGATGCTCTGACCCAGTCGTTGACCATCACAGTTTGGCCTTTGTCAAAGTGACTCAGCTCCTTCCACTTTCCGGTTTCTCCTGCTTCCAACACGTCACCTTGAGGAACTGAATGTTCACTTGCAGCCTAATAGACCCCCCTCACTGACAGGTGCCACTGAGACCAGACAGCGTTAATCAATGTTATTCACTTGACCTGGCGGCGGCTCTAATGTTCTGGCTGATGGCTGATGGCGTTATTCATCTTTTCAGGAATATATCGTTTAAATGTGAACTGCTCGACAGACGAAGACCACCGTAAGTAATGACACAGTAATAGCACATGACATGGAGCATTACTGTTTACAATTCTTTACTGTTAATGTTGGCTAGCTAACACTAGTTAGATGGTAAGTTAGCAGGTTAGCCCGGAGGCAGCAGCAGCAGCCTGGGTGTCAGGACAATTTTATTATTATCGTTATAAAGGTTCATGGTCTCTCTGCGATGTATAAACGTTATGTGGTGGCTAACAGTCCAGCAAAGACAGGAAGGCCTTTCGCTACACCCACCTAGCTCCAACACTGCATACCCAGCTAACGGTGCGAGCTCCGGCGTGCTAGTCCAGATTAAAAGCCACTAGAACCGGACCGCCCCTCCACGGGTCTGCTTCCCCCTGCAGGCCCAAAGTTATGGCACTGTCACCGGCCTAGCAGCGCTCGATTTAACCCCGCCGGCTGAGGACGAGGTGGGTAATAGCAGCAAGCATTACGATGCTAACGTCGGCCACTTAGCCAACACACTCTGAATCCACATATTTTGAAGTATGTGAGACACCAGCGGAGCCGAAATCTGCTTCGGCAAGCAGGAATCCGAGATGGTGTGCGGGTTAAATAGCAGCTGTCCGGCTGGAGGAGCGGAGCGGAGTGTCACATCTTACCTTCCAAGAATAAGCTTTTATTGTGGGCCATGTTTATTCCATGATCGTCCTCAGATTATATATAGTAGCTCACCGGAGACAGATTGGTTGTGTAGCTGCTAACCACTGCTCCAAGCCTCAGAAGAATTAACAACACCGGAAGACAGATGTGTTTCACTTCAAAATAATCATAGGCCCCCAGCGATGTAACGAAGGCTAGTGCAGATCTAAGTGGCTAACACGTGTCAGAAGGAATAAAACATATTAAAATATGAATACAGCAAAATAAATTGTTAAAGAGAATAAATAATGTGCAAAAAATGTTCTTATCAAAGTTAAAATGTGGGTTTTAGCTGCTTAGATGCTCTTTAAACTCTTCCAGTTGGAACAACCACAAGACCTAAAAGGCCAAACTGGTTCATATATTGTTAGACCAGTAGGTTGATGTTGGTGTCTGGCTCTATCTAGGTCATATCAAGGAAAATAGAAAACCAACTAGAAAAATACTATAAAATGTAGGCCTAACAAGAAAAGGAACCAGCCACACCGTCTGACCACGCTCATAGTTTTATTTTGAAAGTTACCTCCGGAAGTATATTGTTTCAATTTTGGTAATTTTGGTAGCCTGCTGACTTGCTCTGTGCACAAACCTGGAGTTTATCCTACAATTATCAACTCTTCATTTTGACAGAGCCATGATAATCTCAGTTTTAAAGGGCTTTTTCACATTTAACTCAATTCCTGCAGGAATATTAGAAACGTGATACTGTAGAACATTTAAGGAATAAGGTGACCAAAAGTAAAATAACAATAATAATGATAATGTCACAACTAGGAGGCCTTGCCAGAAGCAGAATCATTGCAATGAATCAATCAAATCACACACAGTGACAAAATCTCCTGCTGTAAACACACATTTTTAAATGTGGGAATATTTGGGGATATGTTTTGGCGCGTGTGCCATAGCAGGATAACCGATGATCATAAATAGATTTGTTGATTAGTAATTTGTTTAAAACATTTTTATTATAAGAGAAAAGAAAATCCCAAAACAACAATTTGTAGGTTATCATTCTTAAACATGTGAGGGGGCATTGAAATAAGGATAAAAGCTAGATGGCGATGTTTCTCACTGAATGATCAGGAATAATTGCCCTCAGTACCATGATGTCATCTCTCACAGTCCTAATAGTTTATTATAACGTTTACATAATTATGTGCATAAAGTTGTTGACTTTGTGTGCATTTAAAAAGCAATGCAGGCACTTTTAATAAGAATCTAACTATATAATGAAGGAGAACATGTTGCTGATGCATGTAGGCCTGATATAAATAAAAGACATTAAAAGGTTAGAAGATGAGGCAGAAATGTACAAATATCTTCATACTCTTCCTTCTGCCTCAAACCCGTCACTAGGTCATTATAGTGAATAGAATCATGGCCTGCCCCTCTGTTAGTGCACTGTGATGACTTTCACACAGCAGTTTTCTTATCCATATGCAATGGATTAATTCATGGACATTTTCAGATAGAACAGCTTGTTAACTGTGTGTGTGCAGGAGCTGGTCAGGGTGTGGTGAACATGTGAATATCTCTGCATCCAAACACATCATTCCAGAGTTATATTTTTAGTCATGCTGCAGTCTGTCCACTGCTTTGGTCCAGACTGCATCATCTCAACAACTCCTGGTTGAATTCCCTTGAACCTTTGCATAGATCATCATGATACCCAGAGGATGAATCCTACTGACTCTGGTGAGCTCTTCTTTTTTCTCCTAGCATCACTCTCCTAGTTATTCTGTGAAATATCCCAACATCTTCTGCATGGATTGGGACTGTGCCCTGACCATAGGTGGATTCCCAGGTCCCCTAATTTAGGTCCTTGTGTTTTAGTCTCGCCCATGTAAGACGTGAGGAAAAGATGCAAGGAGAAGAATGTGAGGAAAGAGGACACGAGAAAACACATTTTCAGAAACATAAGACATCCTTTCCTTTGATCCTTTGTCTGAGACATCCAATCAAAAACTGAAAAAGGGGGTGTCAGTCCGTAAATCACTTCTACAAAGGGTGTTCCCTTGTTTCCTCGCTTATGGCTCCTCCAGAAGCCTTCTTGATCCTCAGAGCAGATGTAAGAGACTTAGAACATCCTTGAACCTTTCTTGGTGACAACAACTTGCGGCTCAAGTGATGAATGATTATATGAGACACGTGGGATGTAATGTCCTCTTAACGTGGTGTGCCATCATCTTCCAATTAAAATTTTGTCCAATACCTTGGTTTATGACCAAAAGTAATGGCATTCCCATCAGCCTCAGCTGGATGCCGTACTTACTGATGATTAGCATACTAATAACTGTGCTGCATTCTACAGAGAAGTGTAGCCTCTTTGATATAAATGAGATGCAAAAATAATAGAAACACATTATAATCTTGCAGTACAGCTGAAGAGCAGCACAAACTGCAGCCTCCACAATGAACACACAGTTGGATCAACACGTCTCTGAAACAGTTTGAACATAAACGGGTCATTTTCATCTTCATGAAGGAGGGTTTACTGCAGGAACTTTGGATAAGACAGACTCATTTTGAGAAACGTGTTCCTAATACACTGACCACTGAGTGAACATAAGATAAATTGAAGTTTGGAATGATAAACTGAATAAGAAAGGAAACTTATGACAACCTGACCCTTGTATGTGGGGGTGTGACTGTGTTGCTCTGCAACAGCTGTTTTATTCCTTGTACAGACCAAAACTGTGTCTGTGTGTGGACGCATCAGGAGCTTCCTCAAGACCGAAGAGGAAGTGGAAACTGCAGAACATAATAACCTCAAGAACTATTAAAATGATGCAAGTCACTGACAAAACGTTAAAGCAAAAATTCCTTTAGCAATGTTTGTAAAATATCTTAATGATAAGTAAATCACTGCAGGCATGATGTTTAACACCACCCAGTCTTCCTGTGATGGGTTTAATGTCAGCTGAGTTGTGTCTGCTGACCCGAGCCCGACCCGCTTTTATTAGGAACAAAAGTTCTTGTGAAATAATAATATGGTGTTTGAAAAGGCTTGTCTGGCCTGCACCTTCCCCAGCCCTGGTAAACCCACAGAGACCATCAGCAGAGGTTTTTAAAACCAAAAACAGTGAGTACAGAGAAACTAGCAGAGCTGCATGAAAACTGTGCCGGAGAATTTGAAAATATAAAGACATCTCTAGGTGATTTCTGCTAATATTAAAACTCAACATGTACACATTCTCATTTTAAAGCTTTACACCCAAATACTTACTATGATCAAGTCTTTAAAACCTGTCTTTATTTGTACAAATACCAGGCCTTAAAAGTTTGTTGTTGTCTTAAATTTGTCATTTCAACACAAATCATTTTCCTTAGTTACTTTCCATTACTCATTTTAAATTGTGTGACAGAAAGTCAAAATCTTGACTGTATACTAAACTATTTCATTTAGTAAAAACCTTCACACAGGTGAACCAACAGATGTCTGAAGCAGTGCGAACACAAGCATTCCTAGTAAACTGGCCACAGCTTTGGGGCTTCTAGTGGAATTTAAAGTTGTTTTTTGAGTCAAGCTGCTAAAATAAATCAAAGCAGACCAATAACGTGACAAACCTCATCAAACCGGCACAAAGGGAGCCGAGCCGAGCCGGGCCGTGCCAGGCCGAGTTCCTGGCTGTGAGCAGCAGGAGGAGTGGTCAGGCTGATAGTTCAGCTGTTGGGGGTTTGGAAAAACCTCAGTCAGGCTGCTAACACAGGCTGAGAGCACAGGTTAAATATAGAGCAGACTGTCACTCCTGGGCAGAAGCAAACAGACTGAAGCAGAGAGGCTGAACAGCTTGTGGTGCAAAGAAGACCCAGTTTTATTGAAGCCTAAAGAAAGCGTCTGTTCTCACCTCTGCTCTGACACAACTTCTCTCTCCCTGTGTCCTCAGCTGGAGCTCAGACCAAACTTGGAGAGGACGCTGAGGTAGTTTGCCTCCAGCTCTGGCTGAGAGGAAGAAAGCCTGAAGGCTGGACTTACAAGTTACAACTTCAAGTTACAGGAAAGAAGAAAAAGATATTTAAGAAATAAACTCTGATTTTGTGGGAGGACTGGAGTCGATTTGGGACACAGAGAACAGGTAAGAAACACTGCGTTTGATGGCATCGCTACCAGGTCTTTGTCAGTTTGACACTTGTTTAAAAAACAAAGTTAAAAGTTAAAAACAAGTTTGGACTTGAGCGGGTGGAAGAAAATGATCGTACATCTCATAATAGACAATAGAACTCAAATCTATGAATTAAAAAAGTAATTAAAATTAACAGCCATCACAAAAACAACAATAACTGATTCAGTTATTTGCCAAATTAAATCGCAGGAGTACCAATGAATGCTACATGACCCCTTTTTGAAGTATAGAAATGCGAGTTCCTGCTTTTTATAAATATTGATGTGCAGACAAAAATGCCCCACTCACTGTTATATTATTATAAATTCTAAGCAGGTATTATAGCTAACTGTGGAACTAATTTTAACTGTGTTACATATGGTGGGGGTAGTGACAGGTTTTAAGACTCTTATTGTGAAATGCAACAGGTAACTCTATACAAGTATGGTGGAGTAAACAAATGCTCTGGATGGAGTTGTATGCCATAAAATGGAAGTACCTCAGAATGGTACAAAATTACTTCTAGACAAAACTATTACAAATTATTATTTCTTGCCTCTCTTTATTTTACATGTGTTGCTTAGTGACTCACTTTAACATTTTTTTTGTATATTGTTCTTCATGAATAAACTCTTTAAAATGACGTGACAAAATACTTTGTGTGGTGACACCCAGCTGAGTAAAGCAGCCAGCAGCCTCACACCTACTATTCTATTAATCGTGTGTTTGTTGGTAATGCTGTGTATACAGCTAAAGTAACGTATGTTTTTAGGAGCCATTTTGGATCTTATCATCTTATTGAATGGCCGATATCATTTGTCATCATGGCCATAATGATGCTTCACTAGGCTAACAGGTGCATTCATCACTAGGTGTAATAATTAGTGGTCAAAACAACAGTCACTTCTGGTGATGTCACACAAAGTTCATGTAGGGTGGAGGTCGGGGGCTGGGGTGGGACAACAAATCACAGGACTTCCAAACAAGAAACAGCTGCTTGTTTCCCATTTCAAACTATTTGTTTTAATCCAAACCATGACTGTTCATTGAACCTAGTTCACTCCATATGTATTATTGTAACCAACTAGACTGTAGGTCTTATGCATGATAACAGCCTACCGAGCCAACTAGGAGGTGGAGTAGGGTCCTACTAACGCACATCTGTGGGGCCAATAACAACAGTAAGAACTAGTCACTTGGGATTAAGGCCCAGATAACTGGTTAAGATAAGTTTGGGCTCAGGTTAGGGTGGAGGCTAGATTCGGATTAAGAAAGGAAAGTTCTGGCTCAACAGCCAGTTCTTGTCTGCTACAGTCAGTTCAATGTTTAGATATGTCTTTATTCTTATCCTGTGTCAAATCGAGCCTATTTATATAAGCTCATAGTATGAAACTGCCCTAAGAGGGATTTACATTCTGTACAACATGTGAAATCCAATATTGTAAGACCCTTAATTTGGGTAAAATAATGGATAAGAACTGAAAAGGAAACAGAAGAAGAGGATGCAGTAGATGTCACATACAGTAGACAGACCAGCAGAACTGCAATGGAGAAGCAGAATGACTCTGTTAATATATACAGTATGTACTGGTGTTTAAGTCTATAAAACATAACGTTAAGTAAATATTTAACGTCTTCAGAGGCAAATTGTGAATGTGTTTGTGTGAAGACCATGACTGTGAGTTCCTCAGTATGAACCACGGTGAGTGTATGAGCTCACACAGACTCCTGAATGGACTGGCTGCAAGACACTCACAGTGAATCAGTGAGTTATGACTCCATTCATTTACAGCCCAGTAAATGCTTGTTTCAGGAAGCTGTACATTAGGAAGCATTAATTTAATAGATCTATTACCAGAGTACTTTCACTCTGCTCTCTGGGGGATGAGCTGCTCTTAGTGAGCGCTGGCTGCAGGATGTGGAGGCAGAGCTGAGATGATGCAGCAGCAACAATAACTGTTGGCTTCGTTGTAACGCCTGACACGCCTTTGAATTTGAAATCTGATTGATCTGTTTATCCCCTGGGTGGTGGTTTGACCTGCCAGCTGTCACTCAGCTGTAGATGAAAGTGCTGGATTACAGAAACAGCATGAAAATGTTTGACCTCAGTAACAATTTGATTTGATTGATTCTTTCAAGCATGTAAAGACAGTTGATATGGCAACACACATAATTTTACACATAATCCATTATCAATTTGCTTATACCTAGTACATGCTTGAATGGAATAGGAAGAAGTCAGACTTATCCAGTCCTACCCCATGACATCATCTTACCATCATTGGTTTGCAAGCAGTACATGATTCACTTCTACACCACACAAGTATTATACTAAAGAATTATTACAAAGTGTTAACATTCTTACACCACACCCACAATGTTCCATCTAATTAATCATTGAGCCTGTTCTTGCATATATCTTGAATGACACATACCTTTATATTTATGTTTAAACTCATCAATTCTATTACTATTTTTTATGTCCACACTTAAATTATTCCATAGTTTTACCCCACTTATGGAAATACAAAATACAGAATCTTTTTTTGGTTGTACGTATAGCATGAATTTTTAAATTTAACTGACCCCTTAAATTGTATTCCCCTTCCCTTTCATTAAATAGTTTTTGAATTCCACCAGGTAATAAATTGTTCCTGGCTTTATACATAAACACTGCAGTCTAATATCCCACTAAATCAAAAAATTTTAACAATTTAGACTGTATGAAAGCTAAACAAAGATGCAGATAAAATATAAAAATAAACACACCCTCTTCCTGGTTACCACTTTATTTTCCACCAGTTAACCTTTGTGTTAAATTTGGAAAAAGGGACCTGTTGGGTCTATATTAAATCTGAACAATAAACAGAGGCCGTTTGCTGTTATTGTACCCAGCATGCTTTGCCCTGCCCAGCTCTCCTGGGACCTTCCTCTCCATTAATAGTGTTTCTTTTTGACCCTGTTTTCATTGCAAGTTATTTTGAGTCTTGTTTCTGTGAGCAGCACAAATCAGAACCTGAGGCGGAGATTTTATTCTTCAACAAAAGTCTCTTTTATTTCATTTATGCAGAGATATTTTCATTTGAATGCGAAACATGTACATCCCAAAACATCTGTTTGTAGCCCTCAAGCTAAATTTTCTCAACATATTTTTGTAAAATTTATTGAGGGACAGCTGATTAGGCTTTGGTGATGATCCAGATCTGGGGTTCCCACCAGTTGTTTCAAATCCTTAGGGGATGTTGAACTTTTCAGTTTCACTTAAAATGTTATGTTGACAGGAAGAATGTGTTTGGGTCTACTGGCTCGTCTGCTTTCACAGTGCAGCGCTAGCAATCAGATCAGTCACCTACCAAGGTGTTGTGTCGTTTGGTGGCTGTTTGGTTTGTCAGCAGGTTATCTCAACAGACACTGGCCATGTGTTCATGAAATGTGGATTTAATATTTTATGAAAGCTTAGAGAATATATTTTGTCCTTAGTGACTCTTGTCAATTTCGCCAGGACTCCTCCTAAGTGTAACTACGTCTGTAGAAGAATTCACAGGGTCCTTTCAGATGAGTGACTCTGAAATGACTTTGTCACATATAAAGTGCTAGCAAGTCAAACAGACAGTGTTGTAGCATTTATCTGATCCCTGATCAGTGTTACCATCAAATGATCTGGACGGGTGTTTACCTTGCGTGGATAATGGTTAGCTTGATTCTGCTGCATGTGTGCACGAGTTGTTCTTCCTCTGGCAGCTTTGCCAGTTGAGGTGTAATGACTGGAATAGAGCTGAACTTGATGCATGTTGCTTGTGGAAACCAAAATGGCTGCAGTCATGTTATGAGTGTCTGAGGTGGATTTTATCTGGATTTGAGACATTTGAACTATCAAGAGTGAATGGTGGTAACCTGTTGATTACAGTACAGAAAGTAAAAGCAAAGACACTGGTATTATATTTTATTCATTTAGCATCTTTCCGCTCTCACCGGTTTCCTATCACTGTTTTCCCTGAAGTCTGTGTCCTCCTGCTTCAGGCCAAGACCGGCTGATAAGACGGGAACCATGAGCTCACTGCTAATTCAGATCAGTAATCTGCAGGCCGCTCGACAGTGTCTGCCCTCTAGCTAGGTTTCATATCAGCAACAGCTGTTCCCATGACAGCACAACAGGACCATGAGGATCACGCCGTTCTGTTCTGAAAGGGTAACGTCATGATGGATAATGTCACTGACATCAAAACTCCCTGATGTTGCAAGTTGTCTTAGCTTGAGAATTAAGAGTCCACCGTCCTGCTTCATTGAATAACACTGAACTTGGTCCTGTGAGATGCGGAACCTTTGACGGACTGCTGTTTCCTGCGGTAAACCGTACTCATTTCCTGTTTTCTGTATTTGCACTGCATTGTGCTTGCTTCCAGATTGTTTAAAAATCAAATTCACTATTTTCTAGTAGTGATGGGCAGATGAAGCTTCATGAGGCATTGAACCCTTTCATCCTATTGGTTCACTCCAGCGCAAAGCTTCTTGAAGCTTCATTTGCTCTAGTAGGACATCTACTGGATGCAACAATATCAGTTGGCATGAATTTGAAGTGTGTGGCATTTTGCAGAAAGCCTGTGAATAAAACTGT